AGCCAAATAACCCGCCCCTCCCCCCAGCCCCATCCTCAACCCCCCCAAATAAGCCAAAGCAGCAATATTATTTTACATTTTTACTTCTTTATTATTTTTATTTGCCTTTCTTATTTCATTTTATTGTTTTATTATATTATTTTACATGTTATTTTTATTATATTTTCTTTTGTATTATTTTATACTTTGTTATTTAATTTTTGATGTCACCGTATTTTATGTAGTCTATATTTTATTTTATATTTTTATTTGATTCTTTTATATTTTTATTTTATTTCATTTTACTTTTTTATTTTGTATTATTTTCTTTTCATTTTGTTTTCATTTTATTATATTTTATCATTTTATTTTATCTTTTATTATCTTTTGTTATATTTTATTTATATTATTATTTTATATTTTATTTTATTTTGTTATTTAATTTTATTCTATTATTTTATTATTATCAAATTTATTTGCCACCCGTCTCAGTATCCAACTTCCTGTTTCTAATATCCCTTCTTTCTGGGACATCAAACAGAGGGTACCTCACAGGAGGCAAATCCAACTGGGTGACTGGGCCAATCACCAGGAGACAGGGAGATCTAGTCCCGCCTTAGGCATGAAAGGCGGCTGGGTGACTTTGGGCCAATCACCAGGAGACGGGGAGTTCTAGTCCCGCCTTAGGCATGCTATGTCCATGGGTTATGTGATCCCCAAGCAAAGTAAATGGGGAAGCCAGATTTGCTGAACGGCTGCGTGGCAAGCTTGTAAAACTACAGAGATTCACTTAAAGATGGCAAGAAAGGTCGTAAAACAGGGCAAAACTCACTGAAGCAATGTCACGGCAAAGCATCAGAATTCTGGGCCGGGTTGCTGTCGTAAGTAGAGGACCACCTGTCCCCCTGACACGGATCTCTTAGATTTTGTACCTTTCCCTTCCCCGCAGGAGGCACGGCTTAGATTCAAGAGGTCCTTTTGCGGTCGCAAAATTGGCAGTAAGAGGAGCGCGAGTTAAGAGGAACCCAACATCTTCCAAAACCTGTTTGGTGGAACTGAAATGGACTTCTGGAGCAAGAAAAGCGATGATCCAGACCACAACGGCAAGATCACCATCCAGCTGCTAAAAAGCCAGATGGGAGAATTCAATCTCGAGTCCATCCTGCTGTTGAAACTGAGAGGTGTAGGGATTTTGGAACTGGGCTGCCTCGACAAGTGCACCAGCTTGGAGTGGCTCGATCTGTCAGTCAATGGCCTGACCCACCTGGGCCCCCTCACTGTGCTCAAAGCCTTGACCATGCTCAAAGCCTTGACCGTGCTCAATGTCGCCGCCAACCGTATCTCAAACCTGGAACCGCTAAGCGGCTGTGAGAGCCTGCAGAGTCTCAACACATCCAGCAACCAGCTGCACAACCCACAACAGTTGCAGTGCCTGGCCGGGTTGCAGCATTTGGACAATGTGCACTTCCACAACGGCCCAGCCCGGCTCAGCAACCCCTTCTGCGCTGCCCCCAGCTACCCGGCCATCCTGGCAGAAATGTTCCAATGGGTGAAAGTGATTGATGACGAGCGGGTGTCCAGACGGGGTAGCGAGCTCTACCAGCTCTGCAAGGATCTGGACCACTGGCTGCAGCATTGCAACAATGGTGGGTGTCTCAGCAAGATGACTGGCCGGGCTCAGCCCTGGGTGGAAGAGTGTTACTGGGAGGTCCAACCGGCCAGGAGAAGCTCCATTGTGGAGGAGGCCTACAAGCAGTTCAGCGAGGCTTTGCTGGAGTGCCGGGAGTTGAGCAAGCAGGCCGACCACAGCATCTGCCAGGCCGAGCAGGAGCTTGGGCATCCCAATGCCAACTTGTATGTTTTTTGAGGCTGCTGGCTGCTGAGTGTCGGATGCATTGGTGAAGGGTTCTATGACAACTCCCGATGTCCAATTCACCACAACCAACTTGCCATGGTCAACTCTCTATGGCCAACTAGCCATGGCCAGCTCATCACAACCAACCATGGCCAACTCACTACACAAACTCGCCAAGGCCAACTCTATAGCCAACTAGCCATGGCCAACTGTTCTGACCCAGCCGAAGTCTCCGAGAGCAAACACAGATAAACTCAATAACTCAAACTTTCATGGCTTTAATCTACAAATAGGGGACTTCTGGTGATGAGATATGGATGAACAGAGGTGCTGGAGCTCACTCTGGGTTTCACACTATCTCCTCTTGCTGTTGGAGTGACCCTTAGGGGTGCACGCATCTTGTAGAGAAGCGTGCCAGTGTGGGGAGACTCAAGTCGCGGTGTGGAAAAGGCGATTCTCATCGCGACGCAGAAAGTCCCTGTGGAGACCAATATCAAGAGACTGTCAGTAATGGAGGTCCTAAAGTCTTGATCATTGCACACAAGAGGAAGTGACTGAGTGACAGATTGTGGCGAATGAAGAGTGGGAGTGAAAGAATTTACGATCCTGATTGAGCATTGAATATTGGAGAACCTTAGTCGGAGCAAAGCCCGAAAACAGCGGCCAAAGCAGATACGAGCGGCGGCGAAAGCGAAAGGGCTCATGAGACAGAAGAGGGTAAGGACACAAGCGATCAGATAGAGAAGATAAGAGAATCGGAGGGACCTGAGTGACTGACAATAATTGGGGGGGGGGGGAGAAAAGAAAAAGAACAACAAATTTAATTTAAAGGAACTTCGAAAGATTTGAATTGTGGATTTGGGGGAAGATTGGAAGGATGAACTTGAGATCGGGGGAGATTTGAAGTAAGGAATTAAATAATCTTATTACAACTTTAAATATTCCACGGATGAAACTGAATAATTTACTGGTCTCTTTTTGGATTATTGGACTGGAGCTGTGGAGAAGTTTTATTAAAGAAAGAGACAATATGAATTTAAAGATTGTCTTGCAAGACTTTTAAATGAAAGGAGAAACGGCTACAGCGGAAAGTGCGGTGAGACGGTGAAACCAGAGACATTACTCAGCAAGTCTGTGCTTCCGGCGCACTCGGTGAAGGAACTTCAAAGAACTGAACAATTACATTAAGACACTTTAAGCCTTTAAACTTTGCAGATTGCAATAATTATTTCTGACTTTTGAATGTGGTAAACGTAATTTATATATGATTTAATTGATACATTAGTAGTTATTGAAGTTTATATTTGGTTATAGCACAAAAAAAGGGAGGTGATAATGAATTATTTAGGTATAGATATTTGATTATAGGTGTTGATTATATTGAATTAAATAATTGTGACTAATTGTGATTACTACAAATTAATTAATTATTGTATAGCAAAGTTGATATATTTTCATCTAAATTTCTAACTATTTGGAATATTATTTTATAACACTATTTTGAGATTAGGGATTTTATAGCACTTATAGATATACAGATTAATAGTACTTAAATTTAAATAGAGGAATTTGATATTTTATTAAGATTTACAAATCCATGTATCTGATTTAGAAAATAGCTCTAAAATTGTTCTGGAGAATATATATATTGACAAGAGAGGTTAACCCTGTAACATATATTAATTAGAGTAGTGGCCATATATAGCTGATACTTCTCAATAGTGAATGTTAATTTGGGACAACATATTTAATATAATACAAAAACAAAAACAAATTTTACAAGAAATGACCTCTTTAACTAACACAATGTTTAAAACTGGAAAGAAGACTTCTTCAATACAAACAACTACGATGCCATCACCCTCAGTGATAGCACAAAAGAGAATTGAAGAAACTCTCCCTGGAGAGAAACAACCTCTCATCACGAATGCCAATATCCAATTGACCCTTCTTACTTTACAAGAATCCATGCTGAAGCTTCAGGAAATAATGGAGAAAAATCATACCGAAACAAGAGCTGATACAAATGAATTAAAAGAAGAGATGGGAAACTTAAAGGCAGAAATGAAATTAGACATCTTAAAGCTGGATCAAAAAATTGAAACAATACAGCAAGCACTAGAAAGGAATGAATCAGCAATAAAGGAGGTTGAGAAAAGGACGGAACAAACGGAAAAGAAGTTGGAAATGGTTGGTGAGCAATTAAGAAATGTGAGTAAAGAAATGGACGACTCCTTGGTATATCTGGAAATGGACAAGGCTGCAGCATATCTGTGATTCCAAAATATAA